ATTGCTGTGGTAGCACTCCCTTCTTGTTAAACATCACGGTTGGCGTGGATATGTGACATGACGAATCATGTTGAGCTCAGCGAAACCCTTTACTTATAAAAAAAAATAAGATGATTTGATCTTTTCTACATTACTTGATAAGAAATACAAAAAAATTTAATCGAAACAATACGAAGAAGCTACTAATAGCAGGTGCCATGTGGTGACGAGAAATTAAAGAACTATTTTTACTGAACATAATTTCTTCAATTCAATCATCTTGTCAGAGTAACTTTGAATTGTGAAATCGATTTCACTTTATATGATTTTGTGTTTTTTTGCTGTGCATGTACTGATTTTGTGTCATGGATGGATACCCTATATCCTTTCTTTTCTATTAAACTACTTAAAAATACAAATGAACAAAAATGATAATGAACCGTTTCTGAAAAATTGTACGATTGTAGTATGAACAATTATCCACTGTGTTTAAGTGCAGTTATATATATATAAATGTCGAAGAGTGTGATACATGTGGGGAAAAAAACAATAATATCATTACAGTTTCTAAATGTTATATGACCACAAATAAATCAAACATTGTTTTTTTGAAAAGCTGTCTGATCATAGATGTAATTTATATAGACTGCATTACAAAAGACGATAAGTCTTAATGTTGGAATAGAATCTATATAAAAAAGAGCAAATATCTCATAATACCAAAGAGATTTCCAAACAGTGATTTCATATTTTTAGTTGTACCAGTTACTTAATAAAATGAAATCATTCAATATTTCAGTTATTTTTTTACCATTGATCACCATTTTAATTGATCCTGTCTGATTTTTAATAAAGCTGTTTTTAATAGCCTGTACCATTATACTTTTAGTAAACAATCATACGATAGTATCAACAGTTATATACTCCCTATTTTGATAAAAGAATTACATTTTAGTTGGTCATAAGACATATTCGTCATATTAACACGAACATCCTGAGATCTAATCACATTGTTCGTTAAACATCTTGAACACTGATGTAGTCTTTAGTGATGAGAAAACTTGATATTCAATGGAAGGTCAATAGCAAGCCCTACCGATAAATTTGTAATTATCGAGGAAAAAACTGACAAATCAGGATATTGAGTAATTAATAGCGGAATAAGAATGGGTTATTATGCGATTTTCAGTAGATGATCGTGATTGAAGATGAAAGTTATATTGAGTGTCTTTAATTTTATCCAAACCGTTTTCTTATGACCATAACTCAAAAAGTCTTATGTTGACCGTCTGTTGACCTCAAGATGCATGACGATAAAATGTACACTTTCTTTTAGACGATAAAAAAATCGACTGATTTTGACGAATTACGTTAACTTTTTTCCAAAAAAAACGGTAACGATAATTATTTGAGACCTCTGACGAATCACGATAAGGATATTTTGACGAATCACGGTAACATTTTAACCAATTTGACGCAAACGGTAGCCGAAAATGACCGTTTGACGCCTGACGGTAAAGGGCATTCCTACCCTCTTGTATAACAGCCGAACAAATATGGTCATGCGGCAAAAGGTGACTTAAATGCAGTTGAAAAACAACGTCTATTTTTTTGCTTAATGAAAAAGGCAATTTGTTAACGGCTCCTACCTGCGGAAGTTTAATTTATGTTCTATACTTTGTAAAATGTGAATTTGATTTTCTGGATATTTAAAACCCAAGTGGATTAGCTTTCGATTAAAAGTTATTCAAATCCTGTATCTTCCAATCAGAAGCCGCTCAAGATTTTATTCTGTGTACCATCTTGAGGTAATAAATTGTAAACAAATACTTGCGCTCTTGTAAACTAAGTGTTTTATATTGTTATGTTGCTGTCTCATTGGCGTATTCCTTTATTCGCATCTTTCATTTGGAACAAAATCAAAATTTTGAAAACAGTATTTCAATGTTTTAAAAACCTTTAATAATTTAACAACCGGTTGTTTATTTATCTTTAAGTTCGCTGCCTAACCGTGAACGAAAAGGTAAAATAATAATACACGATAAAACCACAAAATCATCAACAGTTTCATTAAATGACAAAATGTCTTTATCGTTTGTCAAGCGTTAAATCGCCATACGTGTGAAAGAATATAATAAAGATCTGTAATTGTTAAAATGCTTTAAAAACAAAAACAAAACTTAAATAAAACAATAGCAATCAATGAGGAGGTTTCTGAATTGGTACAAATAATTCATCGAAGTAAAATGTTCTACTAATCTTTCTGAACGTAAATTTTATTGGTATTATTGCTCAAACTTTAGAAGCAAAAAAAAAAATAGCTCCTTTCCGAAACCAAACTTGCTATTACATATATGAAGATTACTGAAATTTCTTAATATTAATACAGTTTACTTTTTTTAAGAATGGAGCGTTCCATATACCGATTCCCCGTGTACAATACGAATGAATTGCTTTATGTCAGGAGATAATATTGGCGCGGAAACTCCATCAAGTAGAACAGTATGAATAATTAATGAGTTTATTTCGCGTTCTATCATGGCAGAGATCAAGTTACTAACATTAATAGAGGACTGAGCTTCTAAATAATTGTTAGTTTCCTGCCAGTTCCATTTCTTTAACCTTTTTTCGAGAGAAATTATGACTCGTAAATGTCAAATAAAACTGGATAATAAATTAAAATTATTTCATTAGATTAAAACTTTGGATTGTTGAACGAATATATTTCATGGTTGCATTACTGCTTATCAGATATAAAAATAAGGAGATATGGTGTTATTGCACCATCGTTCAAATGACGTAAATATAAGCAATTATAAGTCCCCATACATCCTTCAACAATGAGAAAAAAAAATACCGTATAGTAAGCTATAGGACACCGTACGGCCTTCTCAAGAGTTTACTTGATGTTTTGGCTTGTTTTATTTATTTTCAATGAAAAATATTTTCATAATCCTCTTTTTTGTGCTCTACCTTGTGTCGTTTTGTGGGTAAATAATCTTGTTTTAAAATAGGATTGCTGAAAATTACAGCTTAGTGTAATTTAAACGAAATTTTTGTATTTAAATCTAAATTGACTATATTTCAAATGAATAAAACTTATAAGAATCTGTAGTAAACTTTAATTTGCATTGATCTTACAACTTTTTTTTAATCAGATTCAATACTTTATTTGCATTCACTCATGAAAAATGCCTACAAGAAGAAATACGTTAACAGATTCTTGGAAGTAACAGACATATAAGAAGTCATAGTTGTAAAAACGTATTAACCATATTATATCTTCATATCTTCAAAAATAAATCCAAATTACTCTTACAAACAAAGAGTCAGTGGTATTCGTTTTCAGCTGCACCCATTTTACATCAATACAAAACGCATCTTCAAATAGTTTGGCTCTTTTGCTTATGCCATGTTTTGTTTTGATGCTTTTTATATTTTATGTTTTATCTATTTATCTTCCTAATAGTTTTAGAGAATTTTGAGAACTAACCACAGTTGAGCAATACATTGTTCGTAATGTTGATACCATTTCCGCCCATGGTAATTGTTGTAAAAACAGGGTTGCAGATTGCGTTTTGAAAACGTATTTAGTTTTTATACTGAAAACTGTCCAATGAAGGTATGCTACCACTGTACATAAAGAATTAAGCAGGCAAGGAACTGCCCCTTTCTTTGCAGTTTAAGTTATTTTTTAAGCTTTCTATTTTAATTTGGTTTTATCTGCAGCCGCTCTGTGACCCTTTCTTTCTCGCATTAATGTGGAGAAACAGAACAAATCATCACATTTTCCATTTACAAATGCATTGTTTTATCCGTTTTGATTGCTAATATGATTTATCAAGAGATGACAAATACAATTATATTAACATCAATAAAATGGATTTATCGGAATAAGCTGTATGAATTGCCTTTTTATTACAAATTTGTCAGGAAATACAAACATGTCAGTTGATAACAAATTCGAATGGTGATAACCAAATGTTAAACCGACTTAGAGATTTTTTTTCTTTTATGAAACTGTTAGAAATGTGTCATAAGATTGTAGTCATGTTTACTGAAGAGTCCATCTCACCCAGATTTTTTTTTCAAAAATTGTAAAAGACAAATTTCAAGGTTACACGTCATTCATCTTCGGTTTTATTAAAATAATAATTAACTTTGGATGCTTTGGAATATTGTCTCGTGACATGTCGATGCATTTTAGTTTAACATAGCTGAATCAGTGTGAATATTTCATGAAAGAAGTAAAAAAAAAACCAAACAATTACTCAGAATTGATTTCGAGTTGTCTTTATTTAATAATTAAGGAGACTAAAACATGTCATGTAACTTACAAAAAAATTGCTGTGTATAATATTATATGTGATCATCTATATGAACGCTGAGAATTAACAACACTTATAAAAGATGATCACCGTTGATAAAGTTCCCTTCATCTATGACTTGTTTATAGGTTAATCTATTGTTCCAGACTGATCAATTAAAAGCTACTGGTTGTCAACCAATTCCTGTGTAGACAAAATACTAGCCATGCATATTTTTTTAGAGTTTGCATTCTATTAATAAAGCAAGTGATTGAGTATTTTATAGACTCTATAGCTTGCTGTTCGGTGTGAGCCAAGGCTCCGTGTTGAAGGCCGTACTTTGACCTATAATGGTTTACTTTTACGAATTGTGACTTGGATGGAGAGTTGTCTCATTGGCACTCATACCACATCTTCTTATATCTATCTATTGATTGAAGATTGACATATAGAAGTTCTTTATATATAGAGAGAGAGTAACTAAGCAATAGCATTGCTTGTCTTTTTCATTTTCGTAAACAGAATTGTAACGTTACAATTGCTAGCATAATTATTTCTTTGTAATACATAAACCATTCTTTATACATAATAGTATTATATGCTGAATACAAAATAAAACATATTTTATGTCAATGGTTGTTCCAATATATATTGTTGGTAACTTGTCTTTTATTTGATTGCTGCAGTATATTTAATTTCTATTTTCAGCTTCGGTGGATTACTTGATTGAATACACTTTGTGTAATAAGTAATCTTCTTCCAACATGACAAACGTTATAACTCAGATAGAAAACCTCTTCAAGAATATAAACGGCACAAATAAGACAGACATTGAAGAGATTCTAAAGCAAAACAATACTCTTGATGACCCAGTGCAATTTGACATCAACAGAGCCATTGTACTTATACCCAGCTTTGGAATACTTGCTATTATTACAATATTTGCAAATGTATTTGTGTGTTATGTCATTGCTAAAAATAGACACATGCATACCGTCACAAACCTGTTTATAGCAAATATGGCTATTTCCGATCTTCTGTTAGCTTTCATAAACGTGCCATTAAATATTGCAAGAAATCTAATGAACGAGTGGACGCTTGGGTCATTTTTGTGTCATCTTTTCAACTATTCTTTAAAAGTATCGGTATATGTATCGACTTTTACCTTAACAGCAATTGCTCTAGACAGACAGCGGGTATTATTGTATCCCTTACATCCAAGAATGACAAGAAAACGAGGAATGTTTGTTTTGGCATTTATTTGGTTGTTATCTATCTGTTTTTCACTACCCTTTGGAATTTATACTAATGTAAAAGAGATCAATATGATAACATACAAAGTAAAGCGATGTTGGTCATCTTACCCTAGTAATAAATGGGAACAATATTTAACAATTGCCACTATATTGTTTCAATATTTTATTCCACTTGTGGTAATAACATGTACATATGGACGAATTGTACATAAACTCTGGATAAGAACCCATCTAGGAGTTGTTACTGAAAATCAACGATTAATGCAAATCCAGGCTAAGAGGAAAAGCATCAAACTTCTAGTCGCGGTAGTTGCCGTATTCGCAATAAGCTGGATGCCATTAAATTTGTATTATATTCTAGCTGACCACCATCCAAATACCAAAGTATTTCATCCTGATACTAACACATTCTTTGTTTGTCACTGGATTGCGATAAGCAGCTCGTGCATAAATCCGTTTTTGTATTGTTGGATGAACCCAGCTTTCAGCACAGTCATTGCAAAACGTCTTCGATGTTTGAAATCATTTACTGGCGGCACTGAAATAGAAATTGATGAAATTGATTCCACGGGATTTAGATTGCGAAGCAATCGTCGGTTTGGAAATTCAAGTAGAACGATTTCTTCATTTTCAGCCTCGGATTCAAGAAGGTCAAGCTCAAAGACGTTTCGGGGATTTGCTTATATGGTTTAACTTTGCATTGCAAGAGAATTGACAAGTATGTGTTAATGTACTTGATAGAAAGACTGAATATTTAACCCTCGTTAAAATAATACGAGTATGGTCTTTAAAACTTTATATTTCAAACCTGCTTCAGTGTCTGAATTATTACAGTTTAATTGAGATTTTATGAACTTTTCGATCCAAACTTCTTCATAATTTACATCCGACTAATTCTATTTAAGATGCACTGCTAGTCATTATTGCATAAAACAATTCTAAACCATTTCATTAAATATTTAAATACTACAGATAACAAGATCCGATGGAAGCTTCTGTCGGAAATGAAACTTCCGATAATTTACTATGAATATTGGGACCGTTTGTATCTGTAAATTATCGCAAACGGACAAAAATGGAAAGATTGTGCAACGTTCTAATATACATTATTCTATCCATTATTCTGTGAGTGTACTTTGAAATTTATAATGGTAAGCTGAATTACATGATAGGAAATTTATTTTCCAATCTATTTTTTTTTAGTTCAGCGTTTCGCCAAGCGATTTTTAGACTGACCTTAATGTACTTAATAATTAAGATTTTGTATATATGGCTTGAGACTTTTGCCTACAAAGGCCAATAAAGGACCCAAACCAGTATAATTATGAGGACTTTAAAAAACATTCCATTCATAGTTTTTGTCCTCTCCCATGTGGTAATTTAATTTATAAAGATTAAATATTAATGTATTGATTGTGGTTTGCTTAACGTCAAGTAAATAAATATTTCATGCATATTCAGGACGAGAACAAAGTTAGCAATAGAACCAAGTAGGTAGGTTCTTTCAATGAAAATAACCCTTTGAATAGCGAGTCGAACGAAAAAGGAGACATATTATTGGATGAGAGCAGTAATCTCTCGCAACTAAAATAATTATACAATGAATTAATGCACGAAACTATGAAGTAAAGGTTTTGGACTATCAATACTAGCTTTTATATTTAATAAAGGATGCACCATTTTATAATATACATGCACAGTGCAGCATAAGAGTAAAGACTGATTTATTCATAATGTTCTTCATATAGGAACAAAGAAAACTTATATATATATTTTGATTTTGGTACTAATAAATAAAACAATTTTGATAAAAAGAAAAAAAAAGTAAACTGGAAGAGGTTAATATAACGTTTACAAGCATAAGATAAAAAGTATTCAAATTCAAACTTTGAAGTTTCAGGAATATCAAATAACATTAACATACAGCATGATACAGGTAATTTTGGTTTTCAGCTTAATAGTTTTGACATTTGAAATACTAATTATTTTAATATGCTTGTAAACGTGACATGACTTATATTTAGAGACAGTCACTGAGAATCAAACATTTTACTTTTATATCAGTTTTAAACTTTGTAGTTTCCACTCGTCTAGATACGTCCAATAGAAATTGATCAAATTGATGTTTTTCCGTTCCCTTCGAAATTTTTACGGACGCCATCACAAGTTGGTTGACCATTAAGGAATATCTGTTTCGGATATGTTCCAATTGCTGTAACCACAATTCCGTCCTTTTCCCCTCAAATGTGACCTACCTAATTGGGTTTGTACTTACATGAGTATCACGACGATGCCACATGTAGATAAGGATCTGCTTACCCTTCCGGAGCACCTGAGAGATCACCCACGGTTTTTGATGGGGTTCTTGTTGCTCAGTCTTAAGTTTTCTATGTTGTGTTTTGTGTACTATTGTTTTTCTTTTTGTCGTTTTTCGTTTGCCATGGTATTGCCGTCTGTTTACTTGTGATACACATAATGGTTTAAGGGTTATGAAACTCCTCTTTAAAGTTGTTAACTATAGCATTGTTGTCATGTATGTTGAATATTGAAGTATCTTGGCAATGGCAGCTTTTTACCTGAAATACAAGTTATTCTTATATTAAAGGATCATTATTTTGCTTCATTCGAAAACTGTTTAGTTTGATCTTAGACATAATATATTGACTGTTGTCAATATACTATTCCCAGTTCTGGTGTAAACTTCTTTACAGCCCTACACATTTTTGTAACACAATTCAATGATACATTTGTGGTTATATGATTTGAAATTTTACGGTGAAAGAAAGGATATAGGGTATCCCTCCATGACACAAAATCAGTATATGCACATCAAAAAACACAATAAGCAGAGGACCAGCTCTAGATCTTTTGTTGCTGTTTTCATATCAAAGTCCGTGTGAGGCCTTCAACACGGAGCAAAAAAAACACTCTCATTTCACTGCAAGCTTAAGACGTCCCCTAGCACCGGTTTGAGCTGAATTCTTTGCAAACTGACGAATTGAACTAAAGAACAACGCCAAGTTAACTTTTAAAACACAAGTGATTAATCTAAAAAGGAAAGTTTATCAAAGATACCAGGCTTATAATTCATTATGCCAGACGCACGTTTCGCAACACATAAGACTTATCAGTGTTTTGCGAATAAAGATAGATGAAAACTATTTCAAATATGGGGGAAAACAAAAAATACCAAAGGTATGCCAGATTTGGCTTCGGCGGCTAATGTCTTAATCTATGCCTTAGTGTTTAAATGATCGAACACAGATCATCCTACTGCTTCAATTTACGATTTCGAACAGTCAAAACTCTTGTAAAAGATAGGAGTATTACACATACACAAAACACAATAAAATGCTCCGCTGGGTGCAGCTTGATACGACCGCAGAGTTCGAACCCTGAACAGTTGGGGCAAGTATGGACACAACATTCAAGCTTGATACAGCACTGAATTTGGATTGTGATTAAATATTTGACATAGCATAGGTTTCTGACACAGAATGAATGTGGTCTAAGAACTTAAAAAATTTTAATTTACCTATTCAAACCATATCATTATTATTTGATTTGATTTATAAATCAGAAATAACCAGTTTAAAATGGAAAATTTTAAAGAAAAAAAAAAAGGAAAAAAAGGAAAAAAAAAAGGAAAAAAAGGAAAAAAAATTCCTCCCCCAAATTTTTCGAACCCCCTTATGATTCATCACCCCCAAACTCAATCCCAGCCTTCCCTTTGTGGTATGGTACCTTGCAGTATAATTTCAGAGAGATCCATACACTTGAACACAAGTTATTGTCTGGAAACTAGAAAAATGCTTGTTTTTGGCCCCTTTTTGGCCCCAAATTCCTAAACGTTTTGGGCAATTACCCCCAAACTAAAACCCAGCTTTCCCTTTGTAATATGGAACCTTGTAGTACAATTTCATTAAGATCCATACACTTACACACAAGTTATTGTCATGAAACTAGAAAAATGCTCGTTTTTTTCCCCCTTTTTGGCCCCTAATTCCTAAAATTTTGAGGCAATTACCCCCAAAATCAATCCCAGCCTTTCCTTTGTAGTATGGTACCTTGCAGTACAATTTCAGAGAGATCCATACACTTGGACACAAGTTATTGTCTGGAAACTAGAAAAATGCTTATTTTTTGGCCCCTTATTCCTAAACGTTTAGGGCAATTACCCTCAAACTCAATTCCAGCTTTCCCTTTGTGATATGGAACCTTGAAGTACAATTTCAGAAAGATCCATACACTTACACACAAGTTATTATCATGAAACTAGAAAAATGCTTGTTTTTTGCCCCTTTTTTGGCCCCTAAGTCCTAAAATTTTGAGGCAATTACCCCCAAAATCAATCCCAGCATTCCCTTTGTGATATGGAACCTTGTGGTATAATGTCAGAGAGATCCATACACTAACACACAAGTTATGTCTGGAAGTTACAAAAATGCTTATTTTTGGCCCCTTTTTGGCCCCTAATTCCTTAACTGTTGGTACCATAACCCCCAAAATCAATCCCAAGTTTCCTGTTGTGGTATTGAACCTTATGGTAAAATTTCATAGAGATCCATTCACTTAAACTAAAGTTAGAGTTCGAAAACCAATGTGTCTTCGGACGACGACGACGACGCTAACGTCATACCAATATACGACCGCAAATTTTTTTGCGGTCGTATCAAAATAAAACCAACAAACTACAAATGAGCTAATTTATCAAAAATTAATTCAACAAAAACTCCAGAACTAACCAGAAGCAGCAGTTAACGTAAAAGACACAAGGAAACGCATGGGATAAATGGATGGTTACTCATAGTTCAACTACATAATAAATGTCCTTTGGATGCTAACTCAAGACAATGACTAAGCTTGTGGGACATTTATTAATGTTGTATAAGGTGAATGAATGAATCGTGGATACATAAAAGCTCATTCTCCATTGGTGTTAACCGATGCGTATACACCTTGCACAACAAAACGCACGAAGTCCTACGTTAGGATGCGCTAAAGTAGCTGCATCTTAATAATCATATTTTAAGTATTGATTAAATATGATAATCGCTTCCTAAACACTTGTAAACCGATGGCTCCTCAAAAGAGTTGTAAGGATTCTTTGATGTCAGAAGAGTTTGTATCCTCCCAAAACAAATGTAGATGAATTGATAAAGTTGATGTTGGTCAGGTGCAGAACTTTACACATACGGACCCCTTTAAGGTATATTGCAAAGTTTTTTTAGGTGCAGTGGGCATTGCATTTTCTCAACACTTGTTATTGAATGAAGCATTTGGATTCTAACCAGACGTAGCTGCGTAATTATACATCCTTCGTTGCCAAAAAGATGTCCACAAAGCACGGTTTTACTGCCAGATAGGAGATGCCACGATGACATTATTTATATATAGAAGTCAACCCATGTCGTATGTTGTCACCAATACTACAAAAGTTCTAAAAATGCATCTTTAAATCAACAAAACAAAGCTGTTCATCTGATGCCATTGTTATACTTAATACCATATTTCTTTGAATTATGAACGTTAAACTTTAACCTATCTACCAGTCATACAATACGACACTAGTCAGTAATTTGATATATAATTACAACCATACGTTTGGTACTTTCGGGTTGTTGTCTCTTTGACACATTCCCCATTTCCATTCTCAATTTTATTTTTCAGGAAACCGCCTCGGTGGTTTCGTGGAAGCGAGTTTCATTCGAGTGTGGGAGGTCGTGGGTTCGAAAACCGACCGTTTCAAACCTAAAAAGACTTGACAATTGGTATTAACTTCTTCCCAGTTAAGCACGCTGCATTTAAGAGTTAGAGCATACACTGGTCAGTTCGTAGTCAGAATACTAGTATTCGTGACGGTGTCCGGGTAGGATAACATGTCTTTCTGTGGACATGTTAAAAAAATCCAGGCCAGCGTGTCAAGCTAGTAAAAAGCGTATCACATTAGCATGTTCTCGTCCAGAACATGTCTTTAACTTGCAATTGGACGTTAAACAGCCATCTATGATCATCTAAGACACTTTATGCATTCATAATTTTAAAGACACTCTAGAGGTATCTAATAATCTTTTTTTTTAAATTCTTCCTTTAACCTAATACGGACCATAATGTACACAATATACAAGAGCAATTTTATTCAAATTGTGCGAAAGAAGATTTCATCAAGCATCAATATAATTCATCTAATTTGTAATTAAATTCATATTTATATACTTGCAGCTTTACTTGATATCATCATCAGAAAACTAGCCACAAAATTAAAATATTATCCTTACTGCTTTATCTTATACCTTATGTTTCGACTTATGAGCTCTGAGTGTCCCCTTAGTATCTACAGAGTCAGGATCCTTTAAATTCTCTAAAATTTCTAATAATGTCCCTTTCAAATGAAAACAATATACAGTATTCATTATAAAATATAACACGTTAATACGGTAATACCAGATAACAAAACATCTGTGTTACAAAAAATCTCAATCTGAAGGATAATACACGATACATACAAACCATTGGTGTTATGAACAGAGGGAATCGAATGAACTCCAAAGAAGCGAGACCGGGAGCCCGACAGGACGAAAAAGAAAAATTATAAATTAAAATTGAGACATTCCAAGACCTATACTATGGATTATTCCATTATAATTAACAATCAACGTTAAGAAAGGACAGGGAACCCAAGTTCTTTTAAATACTGGAAG